ATATAATAAAATCTTGGGGTTCAATTGGCCATTACTGTGAACAATTTTGCTTTTTACAAACTGAGGGACGAGTTGAAATAATTTTCTGTTGTAATCAAGAGCACAGAAACTGGAACATCCCTTAAATATTTTACTTTGCGCTCTATTGTTGTAAATAGTCTCTTTATTGGAGCTCAAAGTTCTGGTTTTCTTCCAGGGGATCCTACATGCTTTCTAAAAGACACGGTTGTGCTTCACTCCCGTCGAACGCATGCATATGCTACCATTCGGAGTTCCTCAGCCGGGCTGCCGTCACTAACAGGTGTCCCAGGCCGCTGTACCCCTGTTACACATCCAGCTACATCCGCCCTGGTTGCGTAGCTGCACGTCCCCTCCACAGTTCTTGTGCTTGGCTTCAAGAGGTGAAGGACACCACTGCGGGTTCTGAACCCATCAAGGGTGAGTTTTGCACATTATTAAAAAGTCACTGGGTTTACAGGCTTTACATGATCAGGATAGAGCACAGAAGCGCAGAAACTTGAACAAGCCTAAATATTTTATCTTGTGCTTTAACATTGCAAATACTCTCTTTATCAAAGCTCAAAGTTCTGGGTTTCTTCCAGGGGATCCTACTTGCTTTCTAAAAGACAAGGTTGTGCTTCACTCCCATCGACCGCATGCATACGCTACCATTCGGAGTTCCTCAGCCGGGTTGCAGTCACAGCCAGGTGTCCCAGGCCGCTGTACCCCTGTTACACATCCAGCTTCATCCGCCCTGGCTGCATAGCTGCACGTCCCCTCCACAGTTCATGTGCTTGGCTTCAAGAGGTGAAGGACACCCCTGAACCTGTCAAGGGTGAGCCTGTCCTTGCCGCCTCTGGCACTCAACCACCTCCAGCACCACCAGCAGTGCCAAGAAAGTCCCTGGGACAGAGAGTCCTGGATGAGCTCAAGCATTACTATCATGGCTTCCGTCTTCTGGGCATCGACACCAAAATCGCGGGCAGGATGGTCTGGAGGTTACTGCACGGGCAGCAGCTCACCAGGAGGGAGAGGAGGAGGGTATGTTTGGGTCTAAAAGATTTGGAAATCTTGGGAGATGTTTTTGATGAGGAGCTTTATGTTACTTTGGGTTTACCATGCTAGAGTGGTTGTATTAGATATTAATTCAATGCTACTTTGATATGGAGAAATATCATTATCATATTCATAATGTATTCACATGGTACTCCAGGTTCATTTAAATACCTGTAGTATGGCGTTATTTTAATGACAAATGTCGAGAGCGCATTATTGT